TTGCTCAGGTCCTGCAGCAAAAGTGAGCCCAGATCACCTCATGCACCATTTTCTATCACTACGGCTCAGGTCTAGGTAAAACAGACTGGTTTTGTTGCCTGGCATTACTGTACAACAGACAGGAGTGAAGTTGAGGAGGAGACAAAAAGACAAAAAACGGAAAGGGCTACATTTGAAGGTGTTCTATTTGTGTACTTTAGGCTCCTCCCGGCTCACTTCCACTGTGTATTAGGGACTGTGTGACCTAAATGCTGCTTTAAGACTCCATTATTTGCCGTGACACCAATCAGACTGTTGACAGCATATAAATATGGATAACTTTTTATTACACTTAATTTATCCACCTAAGAATGAACACTCATAATGTATTGCTAGTGTTTAAAAACTGAAACACCACTGCCCTTTTAAAATTATTTTCCAGGAATAACTTGCACCCTCAGGTCAACTTGACATGGATTAATCTACTTAATTTAATTCTGGGGTCTCTGTATTGCATCATCTGTCCATATTACATCATTTGAAATTCATTATATGATTAGTATGTGCAGGACATGGTGTTTCCTGACACAAACACTGATATGGAAATGAGGACAGTCCATAGCCAGAGGGCAGTGCTGCACCAATCAACGTCTGCCTCCGTCTCTGGCGTCTATCTAAACAGCTCTCTTTCCACCCTGCGGCCGCACCACAACACCTGCTCTCCCGACTGCCGCAGAAATCCCTCAGATCCTGCGCTCACCTTTCACTTCTGTGTCTGCTTGTCTTCATTCATATGTTAAGAACAGGGAGAAGCAAACAGATATCCTGGAGCGTTAGTGTAGTTATACTCACATCCTGCCACTTATCCTCACTGTCCTTTATCTGCTCACGATACTTCTGCAGCTCTTCGTAGCGAATCTGCCGGATGATGGCAGGGTCGACCTGGATATCGCCTGCTGATTTACTCCTGTGGAAAGAAGGAGTTAAAAAGTTTAAAAAAGACCCAAGGTCATCAGTAGCTCAAGTGAGAAGTGGAGGCCGGGGATGTTTAGTTTGCATGTCCTTGCAGAAGCTTTACACATGGTAAAAAAAAATGAATTACAATTCAGGTATGCATGCATGCATCTCTCACTCTTGTGTCAAACAAGCTGTAGGAAAAAATTAAAATAATCAAAATAAATTCCACTTTGCGCCTCCGATCCATTTATTTGGATGCTGATGCTGAAAATAATTTGAATTCAACCTGAAAAGGGATTTTTTTAAGCCGGGTTGTATGAGGTACTTATTCATAGTCAGTGTAAAACATACAGTAGATGTCAGCTGGCACGCCCACAGTTTGGAGAAGCACAAACTGAAACATATTTTCGCCACCTAATAAAACTGCCACCTAATAAAAATCTAGAAAAGTTTAAGTATACAGTATATTGAGAGTATTTTCACTGCTTTACCTTTCTGTCAGACAGCCTGTTTTGGCTTCAGTTCCCCATCTATGCTCTCGTCAAAGCCACCAGACTCCATTAAGAAAAACAGTAATTTTAGTTTAGTTAGTTTGTGTTATTGTGTGACTTTGGTGCATCCCAGCTAACCCTTTTAAACACCGAAGTCACACAATAAAACAAACTAACTGGCAGACCAACAGCTCCTGTGTTCAGAGATGTAAAATCACTGTTTTTCAAAGGAGTCTGGCTCTGAAGAGAGCAATATATCAGCTTCATTTTCCCGTTGAAAATCATTGTCTGACGTAAAGATAGAGCATTAAAAATACTCTCACTGTAGCATACACTTAAATTGATATTGGTGTTTTTAGGTGGCTAAAATACGTGTTGTCGCTGCCCTCCACAGCAATACATTGCTTATCTTCCATGGCGGACTCCAGCCTCCTTCTCCAAACCAGGGGCGTGCCGACAGACATCAACTGTTTGTAATACACTGTCTATGAATAAGTGCCCTATACAAACCCTTTCAACAAACTGAATTATCCTTGTAACCTGAAACCAAGTGTTAGTTTGCAAACACAGCACACGGGTCAACCACATATATCTGTGGAGTGATGTAAGCTCAGTGAGTTAGTAACATGTATCCCAGTCATGCAAAGGAGCAAAGTCACTCACAGCCTTCAAAATGATGCACTTTGTTTTCACTTACCTGTGAAGATTCACATATGTGTCTCATATTGCTATCAGGGAGCTTAAACCAGTGCTCAGTCATAACTCTCACTGGGACACTCTGCAGTTTGGGTGGATGAGCCAGCGTATTGCTATTGCATGCATCTTTTCACTTTGTTGCTTTGTCAATAGAGCTTTGTGGAGCAAACAAACACCCATCCACACATACACACACACACACCCTGAACTTGGCCGTGTGCCATACAATACACTGTGTTGTGTGTCAGCATTTAGCAGCTAGTGAGTGAGAACAGCAGCACAAAAGCAGGGGGCAACGAGGTGCGACTGTAAGAGGCCAGAGCAAATGCAAACGTGCCACATTCCTGGGAGCCCGTATCAACTCACCCGTCGATACTCTCTTGCGTTTGGTGCTGTCTAGGAAACCGGAGAGAACCACACACAAGAAAGTCACATTCCTGCAGATGGAGCCTTTGAGAGTGCGTCTGAAGAGTGCTAGAGGGCAATTAGTAGCTCTTAGAATGGCTCATCACCAGCTGGTGGGCTACAAATGTATGTAAACCCACTCAAAACATGCTGGCTTTCATTATACACTGATGAGATTATAGAGTTTAAAGGGATACTTAAAGGGGTACCCTACTCATCCATATTCAGTGTATTACATACTGTGTCAGCAGTGGGACCAAGTCATTGTTTTGCAAGTCGGAAGTAAGGCTCAAGTCTTTGCACTGAAGTCCCAAGTCAAGACAAGCAAGTCCCAAATCAAGTCCAAAGTCAAGACAACCAAGTCCCAAGTCCTAAACTTTGAGTTTCGAGTCCTAAACAAGTCATAATGCGCTCTTTACCACATGTAGTGCCATTTTAACAACAGCAATAATCTATTAAATCTACAAAAATATCATTAATGCTTTTTAAAATTTGCTCAAATTTTTTTAAAAAGTTTCTTAGCTGTTAAGCTAACGTTTGCTAGCATTAGAATGCTAACTATGTTAATATTAGCCTCAACTGTCCATTCTTTGTGGAACTTCAAATGCCAAACAAAGTTGTTGCAACTCGATCTGTAATTTTCGACCTGTAATTAGTATTTTGTGGACCAACCCTAATTTTTGTATGTGTATGAAATTATCTTTGGTATTATTTTTTACAGTTGGTAGTAACATTAACGTTAGTTCTTCATGGTGCTCACCTGCAACTTGCATGGTTGCTGTCCAGTTGGTTCAAGCAAAGTCGATCTGGGGAATTATGTGCCGACTTGCTGGAAATGAATATCTTTAATGTCAATTGCTTCAGGAAATGAATTGATTCGTGGCATACCTTTTAAATAAAATACCTTTTAATCTTTGGGTTTTTTGGGGAAGGTATCAAGTATTTTAAAGTCAAAAGGCTCAAATCTATGTGAAGTCATGAGTTATTGGTGTTTAACCCCAAGTCAAATTGTAAGTCATTATTATGTCAAGGCACAATTAAAGTCCTCAAATTTGTGACTCGAGTCGGACTTGAGTCCAAGTCATGTGATCTGAGTTAACACCTCTGGTAGATGGTGGTCAGCACACCCCCAGTTTGAAGAATCAGACATGAGTACCACCACAGATGCTAGGCTATGTAATGCTGTGAATAGAGACAGCAGCAAAACATATTTGCGCCACCTAAAATAAGTTCCACCTGCAGTTTAAATGTATGCTATATTTAGAATATGTTCACCTTTTTACCGTGATATCAGACAGTGATTTCTGACAGGGAACTGAAGCTGTTACATCGCTCTCTTCAAAGCCAAACTCCATTCAGAAAAACAGTAATTTAATGTCACCAAATACAGGGGCTGCAGGTCTACCGCTGCCTTAATCGGTTTGTTTGTTTGTGTTATTGTGTGACTTTGGTGAATCCAAATTTATGCTTTTTAAACCCCAAAGTCACACTATAACATGAACAAACTAAGCAATCGAGGCAACGGTAGACCAGCAGCTCCTGTCTTCAGCGATATTAAATCGCAGTTTTTCTCAAGAGAGTCTGGCTTTGAAGAGACTGATGTAGTGGCTTCAATTTCCTGTTGGAAATCACTGTCTCACATTAAGGTAAAGCAGTAAAAATACTCTCAATATGGCATACACTTAAACTGATAATGATCTTTTTAGATAGTACTTATTTTAGGTGGCTAAAATATGTCCACAGCAGTACAATGCTTAGCTTCCACGGAGGTACTCCAGCCTGCTTCTCCAAACATGGAGCGTACCAGTTGACATCTACTTAATACACTGCCTATAGATAAGTAGGTGATACAACCCTACTTTAAAAGACCAAAACTATCCCTTTAAGGTGCGTATAAAGTACGCTTACAGCACAGTATCGCCTTTCCTTTCCTTGACATTTAGCCGGGGAGGTGTGCAGACATGTATGTTTCTCTAAACAATGCCGCCTTTCTGGAAACTCCAACATGATGTCACTGGAAACATGGCTTTACATATGGAAGAGAAGTAAATCCAGATGGCCTTGACTCAGGGTAAATGGTTGCTTTGTGCGTGCTTGTGTGTGTCTGTTCATGTGCAAACAACCGCAGTACAGATTTGTGTTCGGGTTACTATGGAGTCCACAAGTCGCATCTTTCTTTCAGAGCTGTGGGGAATTTCTATAGGCTCTCATGTCGGCTTAACAGACAGGACTACGTTTAATTGCCCCACTAGGTGCTGTCAGTGTGTTCAGGACGTTATGTTTGGATATTACTCAGGCTTGAACCTTTCCACACTGTGGTGCCGCTGCACTTTGGGCTTTACATGTCAGTGTGAAGTTCCCTGTGCTGAGGAAAACAACACTGAACTCCGGTCAGATCCTTGTTACTATACAGTAGGTGTTAGGTGAGGTCAACAAATGGCCGATTGAATGCATCAATCCATCACAAGATCATGAAGTCTCTTATTTCCTTTATTGAGCTTGTATATATTTCCACTCACAGGCAAACTCTGTCTGATAGCAAAACAAAACCAAAGATCGAATGAAAGATTTGGGTCTGATGTACCATGTCGGAGATTTGTGTTGTTCAAAAATCACACTTCAAAAACACAGTAGCAGTAGGTTCAACGTACAGTCTCGTCGTCCACTCAGCATGTACATACTATGTGTTGCTGGAGTAAATTAACCATATTGCCATCATGCAGAAAACCATAATCAGTGGCCCTATTGAAACAATTTCATAAGGACTTTCTTTACAGTTTCTGAGTGGAAAAGACCGTCATTTTTGAGGTAACAAAGAACAGAAAAAAGTTCTGAGCTCCTTTATTGTGGTTCGTGTGACTGACCCATTAAATACTGAAGGCACCGATCAGCTCTCATAAAGAACCCCCATCTATGTCTGTGACGGCCTTAAGACCAATCATTTACAAGTTGGATCAACATGCAGTCGAGACCACTTCACCATCAGACACAAAATATTCCAAGACCGAAATGAGTTTTCACAGTCACAAAGTCATGAGAAACTAACAGGCACTGTTACAGTAATCTGCTTCTACAGCTTCAGAGCCGCCAGCCTCTCCACCATGAGCTTCTTCTTATATCTTAGCCGACTGGCTTCCCTGATAGCCTGCCATTTCTGCAGGTCATTTTCGCTACAGGACGAAGGCACCGAGGGCGTCATCTGATTGGCTCTCTTTGAGCTCTGATCAGAGCAAACTCCATATTTCCGGATTAGCATGTCATCTGTTTGAGGATGCGTCTCGCTCTCAGCCCGATTCTGTTTGTTTGCTGCTGCCTCCTGCGTCAGAGGACATGGGGGGCACAGGAGTCTGGCCTTGAGATCAGGAGGCAGAGCCCACGGCTCTGGGATGGGCATAGGCGAGTAGTTGTCAGGGGCTCCAGAGAGCGGCCGCTGAGCCTGCTGGGTTTTCTCCTTACGATAAACCACATCATCCTCCTCGATATCAGGGTATTCTTCCTCCTCGGTGTTGCCCCCAGCGCGTCGCTGGGTGATGATGTTGAGTTGCGGCTCAGACGTGTAGAGACGACGTTTGGTGGGCAGCTGAGTCTTCATCATGGCCAAGTCTGTGTTGGACTGGAAGGCCAGGGTTCGCCTGGCAAACATGTCATCATTCTCCAAGTCAGGGGTAATGCTCTCATAATCAAAGGGGTCTGGGGGCTCCCGGGGATCCTGGCGCCCCAGGAGGGGCCACCTCTCACATTTGACCAGTTTGGGACCCGAGGTGGGGTCCACTGGGGCAAACACCAGAGGGGGTGTCTCTAACAGAGGGGGCTGTATCTTGGGGAGCTGTGGGAGAGTGTGTGCTTGGGTATGAGGACTGCAGGGTGGGCAAAAGGAGAGAAAAGGACAGAGGTGATGAGTGCATGCATGTGAACTGGATCAAAAAGCAAGAAAAAGGAGGAAGAGATATAGTGATATTTGATTCAAACAGATGTTGATCAAATTTTCCAGTCACTCTGCTACGAAATAAAACTGCGGTGCTAGTTGCTATAAAAAAAGTTAAGTCTTCCCTAGAATAGACTGTAATAAAAACAAAATAATGCTGAGACAGCCTATTTTCGACTCAGGTCAGTGCAAGCAAACGGCTCTGTAAAGCGTGTTAGGGCAACCTTCAGTAGCGTGACAGTATATTTTATCATTAGTACATTAGAAAGCAGCTCTTCTAAAATTCAGCCCCAACAGGCGCCAATTATAACTCCTATAAAACCCAGATGCTCTAAGACATTCCTTCATCGTCACAATCATGCATCTGTATCGACCTTTTCCCCACAACGAGGGTGGTGTGAGCCGGGGCCTTGTGTGTGTGGGGGTGAGAGGGAGAGGGGCCGGAGGGAGAGGGGGCAGAGGAGAGCCAAGGACTGATGTCACTGTCTGAATCATCTGACGAAGAGCCCGACTTCTTATAGCTACAGCCGAGGACAGCAGGGGGGACGGAGGAAAGGGGACAGAGGCAGAGAGAGGGTGAAAGGGAGGGGACAGATAGGAAGAATGGCAGGGAAAAATAAAGAAAGTAAGTGGGAGGTGTCTATACAGGAAATGCAGTGAATGACAGAACACCAAATTTTGAATCTTAGGATCTAGAAGGTTAAATTGGCATGCAGTAATTATTTAAGGATTGCAAAGTGTGTGGTAGAAAAGTAAGAAAAGATTCTGATAACTGGATTTTAACACCCTCACACACCTGAAGCCTTGCATCTTCTTGTACCACGGTCTCCTCTGAGAGCCTAGTTTGATCTTCTGTATGTGAACTTCCTCTTCAGGCGTCCAGAACTTCGGTAAGAACTTGTCATAAGATTCTTTGGCAGCAGGCTGTGGTTTGATGCCCATCTTGCGGGAGTACAGATCATCTTGGATGGGGTCAGCATAGCCCACCTCATCGTCCTCATCCTCAGAGTCATCGTACATGTCCCTGAACAGGCTGTCGGTGGACACGGGCCGGCGGTGGTCCACCCTCATGGAGCCCTGCTGGCAGGGCTGCATTTCCTTTCTGTTGACGCTGCTGCTGCTCAAGAGAGACAGCCAATCACACGTGTCAAAAAATATTTTTTTCAGCAGCAGCACAACACGCCAGTCACGCAAAGAGGAGCACATTCCTCGAGCACAACAACCTCAAATGGAATGACGCAAGGATAAGCAAACCAATGCAAAACCAAACTTTAAAGGGGGGGGGGAAGTAGATTCGAGGAGTTACGTTGCCAAGCTCATAAAATTCAGAAGGCGCAAAAAAAGGACGTGCTGCAGCTAAAAATCTCAAAACCAATTCAAACAGAAACCAGCAGAGCATGGTTAGAGGCAGCATACTACAACCAAGGATGTTGCTCATGGTTACAATTAACCATGCAAACTGAGGGCAAGAGAAGCGGTCTAGTTTGCTCTCATCAGGCAGGCACATCAAAGTCACACTGTCGCTTCGTGTTCTCTGACCTGAGGCAGGTCACAGTCTGTTGAGGGGCAACACTGGGAGTCATAGTGACCTTAGGCCAGGGGCCACCGCCACCCCTAGACGCCCTTCCCGCTGCCAGGGGACTGATGGGCACGGCAAAGTTGGTGGGAGGAGCCGGGGAGGGGCTGTGAAAGCGTCTGCTGGCCAGGTCATCCAGAACGAGGTCGGGGTCCGGTCGGTCTGCGTCCGAGTCGCTGCCGCTTTCGTACTCGTAGGCCCACTGAAGATGAGCCGCAGGAGAGGCACTCTGGGCTGCTTGACTGTTGTCATAGCAGTCAGGAGAAAGCCTTGTTTCGCTGAAGTCGTCATTCCACAACAAATGTAACACAACACCATTGACCATTTGCAGACAACACAAACACCAACATGATGGGAGAGAGGAGACATTTGAAGCACAAACCAAGGATTTGAATACGAACACTTCTAGATCACTTTGTGTTACGATGCTTTCAAGACATAAGAAATAAAACTAATCAGCTGAGATGAGAAATGGCACCTTCAAATGTGTAACAGTACCTGGTGAGTGTGCCTTCCTCCTCTGCGTATGTGGGGTTGGCCCAGCTGCGCCGGCTGTCCTCATTGCGTTCGGCCCGTTTCTTCCTCAGTGGAGCCGGCACGTAGCCTGAGGATTTGTCTTTAGTGGGCAGGAACTGGTTAAACTGGGCAGTGGCCTTGGGTGTGATGGTTACTGACCGGCGGTAACTGACACTGTCCTTGTTGTCAGCCATCCTGTAGACAGAGTCTGCCTCAGTGTCACTGCAACAACCTGGAGCATGGACGGGAGAGGAGAAGAGAAGAGGTGGGACAAAGAGGTGTAAATTATGTTTGTGGGAGAAGAAATGAAAGAGTGGAGTACAAGGAGGTCTGTTAGGGGTAATGGAGTAGCAAAAAGGACAAACGAGGTGAGAGTTAAGAGTGAGAGGAGTGTGTGTTCTGGCGTGACTCTGAAGGAGTAACAGAGGGGTGCAGGGTGGGGAATGGAGGCCTCCTCATTTACAAGCTGGTGTGGATGGCTGTGGAATGTCTCACTGCCCTCTCCTATGGAGGAGGAGGGCAACCACCGCTCAGAGATCACTGACCAGCACTTCACCTTCTCAGAGCATACTGCACTTTTGTTATGAAACAAAATCACAGACGGGCCCTCAGCATTGATATATAATATCTCTATCCTGGGGGGCTTTTCATTGAAAACATTCACTTTCCAAAGCACGCCACTAGATGGCATTAGGTGTTTGTTTTCACAAATGGGAGGCACCTTTCTAGCTCTGATGCAGCATATCTTCCCTGCTCACAAATATTTGAAGCTCTAAACAGATGAATTTGATTATAAATATTAATTCAGAGATGAAATCTGAGAAATTTTAATGATAATGTACCGCTAGGGCCTCAAATAACACAAAAGAACAACCACAAAAATAAAAGAAAAACAGGGTTTAGGGGGATATATTGGCAGAAATTGGATATGATATAACAAGCTTTATTTTCTTTCATTGTGTGGTTGTTACCTTAGATTGAGCCATTTCTTATATTTCTTTCCCCGTTTAATGTTTGGTTTTTTTTGGCTGAGTTTTTCCTTATCTGCTGTTAGGGTTCAAGGACAGAGGGATGTTGTATGCTGTAAATCCCTCTGAAGCAAATTGCAAATTGTGATATTGGGCTTTATAAATAAAATCTAATTAAACTGAAGCTTACATCTACATAGGGAGTAGGTCCTTGTCTACAGAGTCCGCCATGTTGCACCGCCATGTTTCTACAGTAGAGCACAGAATGGACAAACCAAACACTGGCTCTAGAGAGGGTCAACTGCGTTTTCACATTGGCTATAGCAGTTAGCAGCTCCTCTGCAACGAGAATGATGGTTAAAAAGTGCTTTATTCAGTGTGTTTTGGTGGTTTTAATCACCAGCGCCATTTATTTTAGAGAGGAAAAGACCTCTGTGGATCATTCATCCCCTGATAAAAACCTCCTGAACATAGGAATCTTAAGCTATCAGGGAAAAAAGGTGAGCGCACATGAGCAAATGCTAGGCTAGCAGCCTGTGTCTGACATGCAAAACAGCATCAGAGAAGCACTGATTTGTAACATGACACGGGATTATTCAGTGTCGTTACATTTTAATCACCTGGTCCAAGTGTTTTCGAGAGAAGGAAACTTCTGCAGATAATTCAGCTCCTGGTAAAAACCTCCTAAATGATGAACACTGAACAAATTCTAACCTGGAGAAGTTTCTGCTGGTTGCAATCTGCAGTCCTCACCACTAGATGCCACTAAATCCCCCAAAATCTTACACACTATTCCTTTAAATGCCATAAAGTCAGCTATAAAAGGTTTAAAAGAAAAAAAAGATTTAACAGGTTTTGTCAGAATAGCACATGTCTGATTATGTCTGTGTATAGATGTAAATGACGTTTCCTACCCTCGCTGCTGCCTTTAAGAGTGGTGTCAGATGAGATGCTCTGGGGTCGGGAGCCCAAAGAGTCCAAGCTGTCCAGGGAGTCGTCTCTCCGGTGTCCGCCTCCTCCTCCGCCTCCTCCTCCTCTCAGTTGAAAGAGCTCCTCTCGTTCCGAGTACCAGCTATCTCCAAAACCGCTGTCTCTGACGTTGCTGCCTTTCTGACTGGACGATTCCTGCAGAGCCTTTCATGCACACACACACACACAAAAGCACACACGCAGTCAGATAATAGGGTGCAAATTACAATATTTAGCTCAACTGTGTGTGTGGTGTGTGAAAGATCTCCCAGGTAGAGTGTGAAGTCTGCGCTGTCTGGCCTCTCATTCTTGCAGTGACTGTAAACACACACTCCTATACCGTCTATACCGGCTCATGCATGCTGTAATTTAACAAAATAACCTCATTGTTTTCTATTCTCTGTCATCTCTGTCAAAACAAACATCTTCCACACCGCCCTTGATGACTGTTTACTACATCAAGAATATATTATTGCATGTAAACACTTAAGCAAGCCCTGCAGCCTCTAACCAGCGTGGCTGCAAACAGGCAAAAACATGTCAGCCCCTTTAAAAAGAAAACAGTTGTCAGATCTGTAATCCACTGAATCCTACCAGACAATACAAGTGCACAAACTAAACCCAGCCTAACCCTGCACCACTGAACTTGGATTATCATAGCTCAATGTACAAGACATGTAGCAACCAACTGCTATTACTGAAAATCCCTGTAGTCAGTTGAATTATAGTGGCCTTGCACACCACCACCTATAAATCTATGTGAAAGCAAAGTGCCAAATTCAACACTGGGATGAGCAGGAGGGGGAGGAAACCTTCAAGGAAAGAAGAAGCTATGTTCAAGTGCAAGCTGTGTGCCATGCTGTAAGAGATTAAAAAGCCACGTCAAGGGATCAGGTCGTTTATGACTTAAGGTAACTTTGGTTTTAGTGGCCGGCAACCTGAGGCCCCTTCGGCCTTTAGCAGCCATTCTTCTGCACATATTCTACATACCAGGGAGGATACGGAAATGTACTGGGCAGCAGCTGTAAAAGAGGATTTCATTCATGCTGCAAGAAAATTAAGCTTTTGTTTCATGACGACACAGATATCCACTTTGAGAGTTTTACCTTGTATAGTGCTGTGCCCAATAATCCCTCAAATGCCTTGAAATTCAGGTAGGGTCCATCATAGAAACGATCACACTGAGCTCTTCTACCCAGCCAGTAAATGGTGATCAATACCTGGAGAGAGGGAAATAAAAAGCTTGTTATAAACCACACATACACATGGAAATTATTCATTACATCTAAACAGAATACAAGAGATTATAGCTCCACCTTTCCTCCAGCTGATGGATGTTCTGTGCAGAGCTAAAGCAGAGGGATTGTTGTGATAGTTGCCACACTGACACAAGGTGATATCAGCCACTGCCCTGCTCTTGTTTCCAGCCTCATCCAGAATACTCTGTTGCTGTTTGTGTGCACATTATCACGTAAATGTGCTGCAGTGAAGCAAACAATCATCACTACATCAATGATGCTGGTCCCCTATTACATGATACGGCTCAAACTGACATGTCAGCGCTTTGGTTTTATGTCAGGTGGAAATGCAGGAAAATAATGTACAATGAAGCTGATGACTAATATTACATCTATGAGACAAACATAATCCCAGAAAGATTAATTTTAAGTCTGACATCTCCTACTTTAATGCCTTTTAGGATGCTTTTTAGACTTAGCAAGCTCTTGACATCCAGTATATCTTACATTTAGTCTGGAATTACTGAAAGGATAAACTACTTGATTTGATGTTACATGTTTAGCGTCTGACTCTTAACATCTTGGGGCCATTTTGGAAGTAAAGTTTCAGTCAGCGATTCTTATCTACTAAACTTTCTGTCAACTTCAGTGAATATCTCATCACGTTGTACTAGCTGTCTATTGTGTGCGCCTAAAAAACATCCAGGCTCGGACTGCAACACTATCCCCCTTTTCCACGTCCTCAAAACGTAACATCAAAGATATTACCAGAGCATCTGAAGAAGCACTGATGGAAGGGGAGTATTTGTTTGGGTGTTGAGTTCATACATCAACAATCGTTTTCCAGAATGGCTGACTCCAACTTTAAGTGTTGTCATTTTAACATTATCCCTTGTAGTCAGTGTATTTTGAAGATCTATGAATAAAATAATCCTCCATCTCTCATTCCCAGGTCATCAAATGCTTTGTCACGCCCCTCAGCGTGTGATATCGTCGCCAAATGCACACTTAAACACACACAAAAGCGTGTTTATGTGACGCACCAGGCTTTCAATTAACTCCCAATGTAAACCCAACCGTGTCAATACTTGACGCTGAGAGCAAGTGATGTAGTATAGAGAACGAGAAAGTCCATGCAGGGCGGGAGAGATGCAGACAGGTCAAACCAAACAGAACTTTCACCCAGGAGACTGCAGTTTGTGTCCCGTTTGAATCCAAAAGTCAGTGTTGTTTTGACGTAACATTACATAA